AAAAAAAAAGACATTAAACGTCGCTTCCTCGTGTCGTCCTCCCCTCCTCAATCGTCCATCCATCCTCCCGCGTAAGCGACGCTCAATTAACCAAAGTTGTCCAAAACCAAATTTGCTTGGTGATGTAATGAACACAAAAGAAAAGAAGAATAGGAGTGAGAGAATATGTTGGGAAAAAGTAAGTTGGGTATCGGTGAAGTTGTATCGCCCTCTTGTGCGGAAGTTGTCTTCTTAGAAACCTGGAGGGCGGAATGGCAATATCTCTCAAGCCGGAGCTACGTATACCGCAAGTACGGAGGGCATACTACTCGCGAAAGTGTCGGCAAATTAAAAGAGCCTCGGCGGTCCGTTAGACGGAGGCGGCTTGTCATCCTTCTGGTTGACCTTGACGATGCCCACCAGCACTCCTACAATCAACGCGATCAAGAACACCAAAACAGCGCAGAGCACGCCAGCGAGGATGCCAAGCTTCATCTTTCTCTTCTTCCTCGCTTGAGCAACGGGGCCAAGCTGTCCGGGACTGTTACCATAAGCCGGCATCCCTCCCGTCATCGATTGCAAGTAGGCGCGCGGCCCGCTCCGTTCTCCTTGTCCTGGCTCCGCGTCGGCTACGTGAGCTGCCGCCGGTGCGGGAGCTTGCTGTGGGGTGCTGGTGTAGTTACTCTGAGGTCGCGTGGAATGCGCTCCATTTTGCTGGTGCTGCTGTCCGCTGAGAAGGGCACTCTCTGACGGGTTTGGTGATATCGGGTCGCGAGGCGTCGAAGGGTTGGTAGTCCCCGTGCCTGGCCTCGAGGGATCGTACGGCGGCGGTGGCGGGAGGTTAGGGTTCGCGGCGGACATGCCATCCGGAGTCCAAGGTGCTATCGGCCCACGAGCGGGAGAGTACAAGGGGTCGTGGTTCTGCGCCTGATTCCAGGCCGGCGATTGCTGGAAAGGTGCCGGAGCATTGGTTGGATACGGCGGGAACTGGGCTTGTGCTTGCGTGCTGCTGCTGCTGTTGGCGGCGCCGGGACTGGCATTGTGATTGTTGTTGTAGGATTGGGAGTAACGGGCATTAGGCATGGCGAGCTTGTCGTCGGTTGGCATCGTCGGGTCAGACGGCCGGTAGGATGAGTCTGAAGGGTAGGCGGCATTGCTGATAGAGTTGGAAGGGTGGCCGCCGGGTTGGTAGCTCGAGTCCCCGGGATATGCGGCGTTGTCAATCGAGTTTGACGGGTGGTGATGCTGGTTGTAGTCCATGATGGGCGGGTTTGTTGATGGCGTGGAGGTCTGTCTACGTTGTCTGGGGATACGTGGAAGTGCGACTTGAGATGATTTCAAAATGGGATGAAGTTGAACTCTGGGGGAGGGGAACGTCGAGGCTCAACCGCTTAGAGTGCAAGTCCAAACCGGATCCGGACACAAGGTCTTGCGGGGAGAAGATGAAAGGGATCCCAACAGTGTGCCGTCGAGTCAGCCAGACCAGGCGACGCCAGAAGCGTGATTGTGATGTCTGCGCGCGTCGAGGAACGGCCCACGTAAGGAAGGCCGGCGCTGTCTTAATGCGCTGAACAACCCAAGATGAGCAGGAGCCAACAAAAGGAACGGAAAGCCAGAATCGCAAGAAGAACCGAATTGACTGGTGGATAGCAAGGAAGAACAGAATAAGAGCGGGAAACGTTTTCCTTCCCTTCGACGGAGAGCGACTGACCAGACGGGTAAAGGAGCGAATAAGGTTGAAAAGTCAGGCGAAGGGAAAGGATGGCCCGCGAGAGGAGCAATTTGGGGGAAGTGAGGAGTGAAAGGAAGAGGATAAGGAAGAGAAAGTAAGCCAAGCCAAGGAACAAGAAGGTGAGGTAAATTGAGATGGCAGCAGATTGAGAGCGAGGGAGAGAGCAAGGAAGGGGTCATCCAAGGATGAGCAGCCAACCCACTTGTGAGCCAAAAAGCAAAAGCCCAGTCCAGTTTCCGTCCCCGACTGGGTGGTGTCTCTCTCTCTCTTTGCCTCTTCTTCCTGCTCCCGCTGCTGCTCAAAGGCCAGGCCCAACAGGGCGCGGCCGGGATTAGAGTAATGATGCTGCAGCCATCAGCGGCATCCGCTGGCGCCAAGTGGGCTCTGTTGCTATTCATTGCTACTCTCAGGACCCAAGTGCGTTCTAAAGATGTGGGTGTGTGTCTGTTGCAAAGTAAGTACTCTCTGGGAGCCATCTACGCTAAACGGTACCTGCTTATCCGTAGCGCACTTGGCCGTTTCTCTCCTCTCTCTCGCAGTCTCTGGAGAATGGTTCGTCTCTCCACAGCCTCAATGGGCGGCTTAGCTGGCCCTTCTTAGCAAGGGGGGAAGAGCCACGAGGTGGACGGTGGGCAGGGCAAGATGGGAGGGACGGGCGAGTTTACCTTATTTCCCGCTGAATGCGTGCTATGTGATGCAGGTGAGCAGACGTGGTAACGCGCGCCGAACTGCGACACGATGACCGTAGTCGCGTTCTTGCAGCCTCTTCTGTCACTCTGATAGATCATAGATGCTGTTGTCTGCTCCAAGCATCAGGGAGGCTGCGTGGCTGTGTCTGGCATGTCTCTCTGCGTGCTCACCGTTTTCCTGCGAATCTGACAGTCCAAGTTCAGGGGTTCGGGACGGTCCAGAACGGATGATGGGTTTCAAGACCACCCGACGAACACTTTTCTGGGTGACAGTTCAATCTGTACTTTTAGAACTTTGAAGAGTATCGTTCCAGTTCTTATTCCCACATTTTGTCCTTCTCTCCTCTTCCCCCCTCTGTGGGACGCCGGACAAACAGCCAGCCCATGTTGTGCCGCAATCACCCTCGAACTGATTCCCTCATCCACTGCGCGAAAATCCACTCTGAACCCCCAAGCGAACGGGCAATCGTTGGCAGGCACCGCCGCAGGGCACGCGGGTGGAGGAGATGGAGGAGGGGGGTGGGCCACCGGGGGGGGGGGGGAAACTTGGGAAGGGAAGGATTGGCACCGATGCAGGAACCCTTGTTCTGGCACGCCTGCGCCTGGAAAGGGGGTTGAGAAATCGCAGGGGTGTTTTGGTGGAGAAGGGGGATCTGTTAGTGCGTGGGAATTTGGAAAGTAAGAAAGTTAGAGAGAGAGAGAGAGAGAGAGAGCGCGGAGAGGAGAGAGACTTCTGTCCACTAAGAATTGAATATCAGAGCAACGGCACTTGGAGTAGAGACATGCCCTTGACTGCGGATTCATCAAATCAAAGAATCGAGGAAGCTTCCTGGGACTCTCTCCCCCGCGCTACCAAAACCACTACCGCCGGCGACGGGGGCCATGTTTCCTTGCCCTGAGATAACCGGGCTGGGCATTTCAAGTTTCGCCATTCTCGACCCTGCTGTGGTGGTCCCCGGCAGACGAGAAGTCCAGGACCACAAAGTGGGCGAGGGTCGAGACTTTTGAGATCCAAGCGGGGAGGACGAGTGCCCTCACACACACAATAGGCGGGCTCTCCGCGGGCCGTCGTAGGAACTCACATTTTTGTTGTGAGAGATACAGAATCTCAAAGGTTTTACATACAAAGCGAAGATATATAAAAAATAAATTTAAAAGAAAAAGGGACATCGAAACGCTCAGGCCACCGCGAAAGATATCAAACTTCATCTGCCAAGAAAGACCAAATTCTTGCGCATGCCCACCTGCAACCACCTACACTAACTACCTAGGTAAATAGCAAAGTTCTCGGAAAGAACTTAACAAGACACTTGCTCCATGCTCGATTAGTCCTAGCGCCAAGCTCCCGCCCATCTCAACCTCCGGCTACTTGGCACAACGGACCTTGGGAGAGCCGTATCTTTCGGTCGTCAAGACTGCTCAGCCTCTCAAATTCTTTCAAGAAATCGAGTAAAACTTTGTCAAGTTTCGTTCAATGTGGCTCGACAGCATTCTAGCAAAATTTCAGTTGCTTCCAACTGGTCATACATAATCTTATTTCAATCTTGCATCCATAATCTCGGGAACACAAGGAGCAGAGCAGCAAGAAATAAAATAAAATAAAAATAAAATGCATAAAAAAGGCTATCCCACCCCTTCCGTTAACTCTCTTCCTAAAACGCCTCATTCAATTAACCTGAGGAGGAAAACGGCGCGCTGGTCAAAATAAAAGAAGAAAAGAAAGAAAATCGCCAACATGCCTTTGAGAGCTTCAAATGTGGAACCCCGCCTCCTGTACTCATTTCTATGCGCGACTCCTCTCTCTCTTAGTAGTAATAAACAGACAGTACGGGGGATTAAGCTTCCAGTTACCGGAGGTCCGGGTATTGAACCGTCTGTTGACTCCTATGGTGTCCAAAGAACCGGGACTGAGCCTGCAAGCACCAAGTCACGTCGCGAAAACCCTCGAACGGAACGGCACAAAAGCTCGCCGATTCAATTCCTTGGTTTACTGAGATTGAAGTCTCCGCGGCGATCCCGACGATCTACCACGAGTCCATGACATCCCATCGGGATTTCCATCCTCCCAAAACTCCACTACCAATATCATGACCAGCAGCTGAACCCACCCACTCTGTCAGTCTTCTACACTCCGTACTATTTACGTCATTTGACACGGCGAAAGCCAGCTCAAACGATCAAAGGTCTTTAGTTTCTCAATTTCATGTCTTCACTTCATTCCATTGACCAATGTAGTCATACGTGTACAGGTGATTATGTCTTTGATTTGATATCAGTGGTATCTGCATAGCTCCTTCGACTTCCTTCTCAGTTCCAACGCCCTCGCTTTACTTACTCGTACACGACGAGATGCTATGCGTTGCCAGAAATTTCCTCCGCTCATAGAAATAAGAAAAACGCACCAGAATCTTTTTATACAACATGGTCGGCCGGCGTGCCTACACATCTCTCATACTGCCCAGAGCTCCTAATCCAGAAGAAGGAGCACCGAGTCACCTCATTAAGCGTCATATCTATGTACATTTTTTCTTCCGCCACGCACGCCTCGGCACGCCGTCACGACCATCGTGCGATCAGTTGTTGTTTTTTGCCTTCGCCTCTCAGCTGCTCTTGCGGCCAACCTGGATGCCTCCAGGGATGGTGATGAGGAAATTGACCAGGTCCACTGAGTTGCCTCCGCCGAGTGTCACGTTCAATGCCTGGGCAGGCGTGACCCCGCCGCTCTGCTGTCGAGTGCCTTGGTCCGCAGTTGTGAAGAAACGCTGCAAAACCGTCTGTGCCGTTGTCGCCGCCATCAAAGTTTGCCTCTCGAGAATGAGAAGAATTGAGACGCGGGCAAAGTCCAAAGTCTCCTCAGTGACTGTGAAGGTTGGGCTTGGTGCTGGCGCAGACGACACTGGTACCGAGGGGACCAGAGGGGTCTCTGACGTGGTTGTCGTTGGCACGGTCGTAGGCGGTACCGTAGTTGCCGGCGGTGCTACTGAGGAAGTCGTCTCGGGTGTTGGTGTTGGTGAGGGCACCATTGGAATAGTAGCCCACATGGTGGAGCTGGAAGCATGAATGGTTGTGACACGGAACGGCCCTGTGAGTGTTGTGAATCCACCAACAATATCTGGCGAGGGGAGGATCACACCTCCTGGTGCGTTGATGTCAATCGTGATAGTTGCCGCTTGCCCTGGGAGGATAGTGATGACCTGAACAGGAATCGCGCCCTTGGCATTGAGATCCGTGTCTGAAATGACAGTTCCAGTGCGAGTGGAACGTCCGTCAAATGTCACGAGCGAATTCTGCGCAATGCATGATAGACTTTCCGTGTTGAACTTCGCGAGAATATCGGTACCGTCCAGAGGAACTGTGAAGTTCGTCTGGGATTGTTGCAATAGCCGTGGAACCGCCTGGCCGAGAGTGACATTACTAAAATTAGTCGAGGTAGAGTTCCCCGAGAGGTTGGTTGTGGTGCAGCCTGTTGCTCCCGCCACGGTGCAGGTCTGTCCAGTGAACCCGTTTATACAGATGCAGGAACAAACGTTTTGTGACACGACGTTGGTTCCGCCGTTCTCGCACTTGAGCTGATTCTGGCACTGGGTCAGAGCCGGCTCCGCTGCTGGAGGAGTAGCAGATCGGTTTTTGCGGAATACGAAGAATTCGAGGGGGACAATGATAGCGGCGGCAATGATTCCCAAAATGAGAAAGACGATGAGAATGAATGCCCACAGTGGCAGTCCGCAACACTTTCTACGGCGCCTAGTCGAAGACTCGCCGTCGTTGGATTCCAGTCTGGCCAACGGAGATCCTCTTGCCGCCATCGCTCTAGTCACAGGCTGAGGCGTGCTGCCCCTACTGCCCGGTGCCAGTGGCCACGAGGCTTGAGAGGCTCGTCTGAACCAGCTTCCACGGTTGGGGGGGTTTGGTGTCGTAGCCGCAGGTGGCGGGAATGCGGCGAGCATGTCAGACAGGCCAGACTGGTGCTTGTCACCAGCTGAAAAAACAGTTAGCCAATGCTACCGCGGTGAGCATCGAAAAGTTGACTTACAAGACACGCCAGACATCTGCTGCTCCCCCTCTCGCCCAAATGCCTTCTCGTCTGGCCACGTTCCGTCATCCATCTCGAATCTACTGGCAGGTCTTCGTCCCCGATCGATCAAAGCAGCCAGGCGGGTTGCTCGTTTGATGAGATCCGGTAGACTCGTCATGCTACCCCTGGATTCCATTTGCCTGACTGAATCCATGTCGAGTCCGAGTTTGGGTGGTCGTCGAACGGCCGAAAGGCGGTTGTACGGTCGGGGTGACGGCGTAACCTTCCTCAATTCTGCTGGATCCGTTGCACTGGCAGCGGCAAAAGCGCCTAGCATAGCGTTGGCCGAGATCGATGGGGTCGTGGCGGTGGCTGCTGTGGTAGGGGCCGTTCCTGAGGAGCTGGAAGCCTCATAGTAAGCTGTACCAGCGTCAAAAGGACTGACGGGAAGCTGGAAAGGAGGGACTGGCGACCGCCGCGGCGACTCTTGTTCATTTAGTACATCCTGCGGCATCGGGTCTCCGTTGCTCGGGGCTCGGTTCATCACGATTGAAGGCTTCGACATCTTGCCCAAGCTAGCACTCCGAACAAGTTTGCTCTCGTCTCCTGCATCACCATACGGTGATCCTGTACCGCGGCTCATTTGACTGTTTTCATCCTCGGTTGAATACGCGTCGTCCTCGTAGAAGTCGTCAGGATATCCTGGGCTAAAACCTGGTGATTGACTGCCCCAGCTCTCAGGCATAGCAGCGCTGGAAGCGAAAGAGGTGTGAGACCTCGACCGAGGACTCTCTTCGGGAATCGGCGAGACGAAAGAAGCATTCGAATAAAACGATGAGTCGCCTCGACGAGAGGATGGCGGAGGACCCAGAGTTACGCTCCGCCTTGGTGGTACTACAGGTTGTGGTACGGCGACGGGTGGCAGAGTCGACGGCAAAGGGAAGTCTGGAATCGATCCGACTGAAGAAAGTGATGATTGCGTGTGTCTTGATGACGGGGTAAGCGGTGCGGATGAGACATCTTGGCTCAGCGTTGATTCTCGCCCGCTTTGTGGGGTATATTGAAAAACGGGAGTGTGATCCTGGACCCGGGAACTGTCCAATATTGAGGGTACTCTACTTGGGCGCGGAGGTCGTTGCGGCGGTGGTCCACGGCCCGGAGGAGGTCGATAGGGTTCCGCATCGGGGTTGTTCACGGGCGATGGAATTGGTCCTGGCAGTGGCCATTGTGGAATTTGTGTCGGTCGGGAGATGGCAAGCCCGGGGCTGCCGTCTTTATTTTGCAAGCCATTCGGTAGTTGAAGTCTCGGTATCCGTGATGGTGTCGGCTCGACAATTTGACGCCGGTCTGAGACATCCGTAGGGCTGTCTGGATCTTCTTCCATTATCGGGAACCTCGTAGCGCTCGGCGGAGAATACTGTTCCCTCGGGAATCCGGCTTGAGCCCGCTCTCTCGCCCGCTTGACGGATCCTGCAACTGGCGGTCGATCCATATCTCTTCCATATTGGGGTTGACTCATTTAGTACTCGTGAATTCGGTCCAGCGACATCAGAGTTTCGTTTTCCTCCTGACTTCCTGTTTTCCTTTTTTTCCTTTCCAAGATGCCTGCGCGTCCAGGCACGACAATTACACCATTCGCTCTGCGGTATCACCTAGGTGCAGCTTCTATGACCGTGGTTCCTGCGGGTCGCCGATGGTACGGTGATGCGGTGGCGTAGCTGAAATTGTCTGAAGAGACGCTCGTATATGCTTGCGGTGGCAATATGACTTGCAGCAGACGACGCAGATTCGCGGACAGAAAAGAGCGGCTGAGAGTTAGATCAAACGAATGGCCGCTCAGCTCTTATGCGAGGCGGTGTAACTGCGTTGAGGTTGAAAACAGGACCCAGGCCTATTATGAAGAATCGAAGTCTAGAGCGACGCTGAAGTGCAGTCGGGTGGCGAGGTGCCCAAGGAAAAGAACGGAACGGAAAGGCGGCGAAGGAATGAAGTGCGTACACTGAGGTAGCAGGATAGCAGATTGCTAAATGGATTAATTAGAATGGCAGGGAATGAAAAGACGCGTTGGACGATCTATGGTGCAAATGTCCAGGTCAGCACCGGATAAACGTGAGGGGATCTGAAAGGAGGAGAGGCGAAGCAGAAGAGAGAGAGAGTAGAAGCAGCACGGCCACTCAAGGCAAACTGGCCCCCCAGTAACAGGTACAGAGGATTTCCGGTGGTTCGGGAGGGTTGCCTCAAGTCGGCCGCACCCTTTCCAAGCAAGGAACACCTGAACAGCCGGGCCACGGGTAGGGGGAGTCCCAAAGGGGATCACGTACATTTGGTGTTTCGAGACTTGGCCTTTGTCGGACGTGATTTGCCCAGTAGGCAAGATTTGTGGTTGCTTTTGATAGAGAGATGAAGAGAGATGGGATGCAATTGTGACGGCTGTAGATAGCGGACGGATTTGTTGATTGAGTGATTGAGTAAGTGAGAGACTGCGGTGATGAGAATGACTACAAAGTGATGGCATCGACGTCGGAGCAAGAGACAGCGCTTCTTAGCAGCAGATGCTTCGACAAACAGACGGGCCAACGCAGTCGTCGGCGCAACAGCAGTAGCAGCAGCAGATTGCAACTCTGACGACGGACGGAAGAAGAGAAATCGAGTGGGTGAGACGAGCGCGGGTGAGTGCACGACACACGATGGGTCTTGCGGTGCTGTAGAAAGGACTGAGAGTGTTTCAGACGGGCGGAACGGACAGGGTGTGTCCGGCGTCGGGGAGGCAGGTCGTCTCCGGGGGGAACCTAGTGACTGACGTCTGAAGATTTGGAGATCAAGAGACAATCAGGCGAAGAAGCAGGTCCGTGGTGGATTCGATGGTGATATGATGTGCGAACTGACAGGCGAGGTCGCGTGGGGTAACGGAGCGTCGATGATATGCGTTTGCTTCAAGGCTGAGTGATGAATTCCGTGGCGACGGTCCGGTGAGAGATACGGACAGTCGTGAGAAAGAGAAATGATGGTCAGAGAGGTTAATGACGCAGGCCTTGTTGAGGTTCTCGGACGGGTTGCGGCAGTTAGTCTTCAAGACAAAAACTTATGTCCGGTTGGCGGCGGCAAAAAGGAAGAAAAGACCAATGGCGGTCGATCAAGTCGACGAGATTGGAAGAAGAAAAGAAGGTCGAGAAGTGAAAGATGTGCTGTGCCGGGCGTGTGAGTGTGTGCGTACGCAGTATGCGTGTGTGTGTATGAGTGAGTGGTGTGTGTGACCTGGGTCTGTGTCTGTGTGTATTGGATTGGTTGGTCGGCGGACACACAGATGTACGTATCGTGACGGGATCTGATCTGTCGAGGCAAAGCAGAACAGACGGGCCGCGTGCCTGGCTGGACAACCCGTATGTGACAGCTACAAGCGATGACTTACAAGAACCAGTATCGGTAGGGTTGACTCGACTGGTCTGCGGCAACAGGTCACAACCGCACGGAAAGGTTGGTGGAGGTGGTCCCGAGACGGAAGTGAAGAAGAAGAGAGAGAGAGGTGAGTCGGTCGAGACGGGACAGGAGGGATTAGAGAAGAAGCGAGGAGGGATCCCCAGAGATCAAAAACGAGTGGAAGCAGACTGCCAGAAGAGAGCCGGGCTGGGCTGGGTCTGAATCCCAATCTAGAGTCTAGAGACGGACGGGGGTGGGATTTTGGGACGTGGATTGGGGATGGTCTGGCCTGAGAGACAGCCCATTCAGCAGAATCGGTGCAAGAGGAAAGACTCCACTATCCACCGGCATGGAACTTGACTTTGAAGTGGGTGAGAGAGGAAGACCAGGGGTGATAGTCGGTGTTTAGAGAGTCTGTGACCCTTTCCCCCCCTTTGCTGTTACTGTTCGTACAGACCTTCACTGCAAATTTCGTCCTCTTTTTTTTTCTTCTGCCTCTTCCCCTCTGCAGGTTCAGGTCAAGTCCGGATAATGCGCCGAAAGCGAGCGTGGTAGTATTACTATTCGTCTGTATCGGTACGAATATGCTATCTAAAGAAGCGCAGTAAGCATGTAAAGTACCTTGAAATGGATATCTCACCGTAACATGGTCACGTACCTTGCAGGTGCAGCAAGCACAAGCACACACGTGGGGCACTGGGACGGGATTGCGCAAACGAAGTGTCCAAAGATATCTGAAGGATGGAGGCAAAAAACGGAGTATTGCGCAGGGAAATGACGGGTGGGGGTGTGGCCGTTGTAGAGTGACGCCAACATGCCCCAGCTTTGCCTGACTTGGTCGAGAGGCAAGAGGCCGTTGAAAAGGTCTCGTCTCAGTCCGTATCAACGTCCGGTGCTATCGTTCCCCCTTGCGGCTTGCGTTGATTACCTTTTGCTTTGCACGTGCCTTGGTGGGAAGTACTACTACAAGTGTGGTAAGTAAGGTAAGTAAGGTGAGAGGCGGGTAGCACAGAAGCAGTTTAGCACCACCAGTTAAGCAGGAAAGGACACGAGTGAGGCGTCGATAGTCAAGCAAAGGCTGCAAAGCCAAGTCGCCCGTCGCCCCAAAGGTTGATGGCATGTCTTCAAGGGCTGCCCCTGGCTTCAGACTGGCTTCATTTTTTGGGGACAACGAGATCCCAAAGTGGCAGATGGGTAAGGATTTAACGAGGCACGGCTCATCTTGGGAGCTGTGGTTGACGCTAACACGACCGTTCCTGGTCCTTCCTGGTCGTCGCTGCCATCCTGGCTGCAGATGACAGGGGTGGTAAGAGAGAGAGAGGGAGGGAGAGAAAGAAGAAGGAAGGACCATTGGCGAAGTCTTGACTTGCACCGGGCCGTTCTTGCAAGTTGCTCGCTTCACACTTTGCCGTCTCAAACGCAGGCAAGGCAGTTGTTAGTTCAACGCTCCTGCTTCGACTCTTTTCTTCTCCTCCCCTCCTCTCCCCTCTGCTGCGTGCCTTCCCTGGTCTGCCCCGGCTGGAGGGGTCACTCTCCGTCTAATCCCTGCTCTCTGCAGTTTACATGTGGGTCAATCTGGTCCAGTATGGGCCAATGATGAGCGTATCAGGCTTAACCAGAAACACTAGCGCAGGCACGCACCTCAAGACCCTTTCAATCCCTGCAAGAGCGGTCCAGATGGCCCGATCTGGGGGGGAAACCTCAACTCAGCCAATTCGTACCTTCTCAGTCACTCAGTCCAGGATCTAGAAAACTTCAAGTCGTCTTCCGTGGCTGTTGTAAGCTTTTGTACAAAGTTCCTTCGCCTTTGAAAAGACTTGTTCGTCGAACGCAATGACCGATTGGACAAGCTTATCGCCCGACTCGGCATCGCAACAATACCGTTCGAACCATCCGCCGCGGCGCAGCCCTCGACGCAACCTCTTCCTCCAACGTTCCTGCAAACTACGGCATGTTCGGTCTTATTCGACGTTTTTTCTGCACCTGTCAGAATTGCCGTTTGTGTGTGCATTCTTCCAAAAAAGCAAAGTCGAACCGACCTGCAACTGGAACAAGCCACTTGCACCTCGGTTGCTAGCTCCTTGATGCTCAACTCCGGGGGACTACCCCCAAAACTTACGCTACAGACACCTACCGCTTCCACTTTCAAATTGCCATTGTCGAATTATCGCGCCCAACTTCTAAATATTCTGCAAATGCCTACTTCCGTCCGGCTCGTCTTCAACAACATTCGAGGGACCATCCCAACGCCAGATTCATCGCGCGGATGACCACATCCTACTACTACCTACTACCGCCATCCCGATCAGGGAGACGGGACGAATTGAA